CTGCGGGTCTGCGGGTCTGCGGGTCTGCGGGTCTGCGGGTCTGCGGGTCTGCGGCTCAGGTCCCGGGAGGCGCAGCGCCCCGCGCGACCTTGTAGGAAACACCGCCCCGGGGCCCGCGGCATGCCGGGAGTTGTAGTGCGGCGGCGCGGGGCGAGCGCGGGATCCACCGGGACTTGTGGCCGCCGCGGAAGCTTCGGCAGAGCCCCGCGGGAGGAGCTGAGCCGGGCCGGGGCCCCAGTGGGCGCAGGGCTGCAGGATGTTAACGCGCTGCACGGCGGGGGCCCCGCGACCCGCAAGAAGAAGAAGCGGCTGAACCGCAGCGCCCTGCTGGCTAGGAAGATGGTCACCGAGAGTGCGCTCGGTGGCGGCGAGAGTGCCTGAGCCCCTGCCCACCCCTGACGCTGGACACCAGCCCAATCCGGGACCCCACCCCCAACTCTAACCCTACTGGGCACCCACAGCCCATCTGGACCGGCTGGGACTCCCAGTCTCAGCCTTGGACGCTGAAACCTAACGCCATTCCCTCCCCAGGACCCCCAAACCCAGCGTGGTCCACCCAGACACCCAGGCACAGCCCCGCAACCTCAGTTCCCCACCCTCCCTACAGAACCACCTCCAGCGCCAGCTTAACCACGCTCTGATCTTGGCCCCACCTCATCACCCAGACCTGGCTCCTAGACTCCCATGCTGCCCAAGCTCCCGGACCTCACTCACAGAGCAGGTGCAGACCCTGCTCCTGAAAGAAGGTCCTTGGGCAGAGAGCCTCCCTGAGGGGGTCTGGTCTGAGCACTGACTGTGACCCCCAGCCTCAGCGCCTCCTCCCTCCACAGTCCCGCCTATGGGACCCCCAGCCTAGCCCCTATGCCTCCCCCAGCCTTACCCACCCAGTGTTTCCCAACCACTGGTATTGGGGCTGAATTGTTCCCTGGGCGGTGTGGGGGGCTTGAGCAGAAGTGGCACCCATCCACTCCAGGCCAGAAGCACTCCAGCTCTGACAACCACATGTGTCTCCCAGACATCACCCAGTGTCCCCTCAGGGCAGGACTGCCTGGGTGAGAACCACTGTCCTAACCCATTAAAACACCAGGGGTTCCCACATCTCAGCCTGGGGTTAGGTGGAGCAGAGGGGAGCTCCCCACCTCAGGAAAGGACATTTCCATTCGGTGCTCAGAACAGGCCACAAACCCAGCCTGAGATCAAAGCCCCCTGCTCACTAGAGCACACAGGTCACTTAAATTCTCCAGCAACCATGTGGAAAAAACAGGAAAAAATGTGGCATAAATAGGGGCTCCTGGCTGGCTCAGTGGGTGGAGAGTGCAACTCTCCTTCTTGGGGTTGTGGGTTCCAGCCCCACACTGGGCGGAGAGGTTACTTAAAAATAAACATCAGGATGCCTGGGTGGCTTGGTCCGTTAAACATCTGCCTTCAGCTCCGTACTTGGCAGGGGGTCTGCTTGAGATTCTTTCCCCCTCCCTGTCCCTCAGCTCCTCCCCTCCTCACCCCGCGCGCTCTCACGCTCGCGCGTGCTCTCTCTCGAATAAATAAATAAAATCTTTAAAAATAAATAAAATTTAAAAATTAAAAATTAGGGGCGCCTGGGTGGCTCAGTCGGTTAAGCGACTGCCTTCGGCTCAGGTCATGATCCTGGAGTCCCGGGATCGAGTCCCGCATCGGGGTCCCTGCTCGGCGGGGAGTCTGCTTCTCCCTCTGACCCTCCTCCCTCTCGTGCTCTCTCTCTCTATCTCATTCTCTCTCTCAAATAAATAAATAAAATCTTAATAAAAAATGAAAATTAATAAAAATTAAAAATTAAATAAAAGTAGATTCACAAACCCAAGTTGTTACAAAGTCACTTTAAGGTTTTCCAGTAAATGAGTTAAGCATCTGCATTTAAGTTGAAATGTTAAGTAAAAATTACATTTCAGGTGGTCAGTAGACACACATGGCTGGCAGCTCTGCCCTGGCCTCACCTTGTTGTGTGACCCAGCATCGACACTTCTCCAGCCCAGCTCTCCTGGGGTTGGGCAGCCGGGCTGCTCTAGCACATGGTTGGACACTGGAGAGCAGATCCAGCCCTGGACCTGGTGACCCATGGACAAATCCTTCTGAACTATTTGAATTTATCACCACACATATGCTTTGGGAGATGGTCTACCTCCTCACAGAAAACCCAAAGATTCATCAACACTGGGTCTGCATTTCTGTGGGGGCATAGCAATGGCTACCTCCTCAGACACCACTGACCCCCACTCCATGACGGCTACAGGCATGGTCACCTTGGGGTGGCAGAATGGGGAGGGTGCTCAGTCGGGGGAGGTCAGAAGAGTGGCTGGATGGGTGGATGGGCGATGGATGATGGACATGTGGACAGGTAGATGGCCAGACGATGGGCAGATGAATGGATGGTTGGGTACGTGGACGGATGGTCAATAAGTGGAAAGATGGATGGACAGGCAGGTGGGTTGATGATGCATGAACATGTCAGTCTCTGGTTAGACTGATAGATGATGACCTCACCCCTGAACTCCACCCTGGTCTGCCCACACCTCCTAGGATCAGTTTGGACGTGTTCTGCCCTCTGCCCTGCAGGTGTCTGGGGGAGTGGTGACCCGCCTGCAGTCCCATCCCCAGGTGTGGGGCAGAACATAATCACCAGCAACCTCGGCCTGTGCAAGGGCCCCACCCTCTACAGCTTTGTCTTCTACCTGATCCACGTGGAGCTAAGCAAAATGGTGGCCCGGGGCCCCGGACAACGCTGCCAGGACCAGCACGGCAAACCCTTCAGACGAGGTCCCCCCCCTCCACCCACCTGTGTCCCACCTGTCGCCCTGCCTGTCTCCAGGGACAGGGACACCACATTGGCCTCTCTTCTCACTGGACCATCACCCTGGGCCACTCTTCCTCTTTGGCACCTGCCCCATTCTCCTCCAGCTCCTGGTCACCCTTTTGATCCCCCATAGCACAATCACCTGGCCCTGCAGCCCAGGGCCCACAAGAAGCTTGGTGGGGGTCCCCAAGCTGTCCCACAGCCCTTCGGGTGGGGGCCCCATCAGCAAAGAGCCGCTGCTGGAGGGCAGCATAGCCTGACTTAGCAACAGGACCTGAGGTCAGGGGTTACACTTCCGGGAGCCCCAGCCTCAGGATGGTAGAGCCAGCACCCTAAAATCAGCTCTCACCAAGATGTGCCTTCCTGCTCCTTGGGGCAGGTGAGGGGCCTGAGACCCTCAAGGCCCTCACCCTTGCCTGTTCAGCTCATTTAGGGCTACCCCAGCCTGAACCCTCCACCCCTGGTAGGGGACGAGCCACAGTCCCCAGGGATGCTGGGCCCAGCTATGGGGACTTTGAGGGCCACCCTGACCCTACTCCACCACCAAGGGCCTCCATCCAGTCTGTCTGAACCCAGATGTCACAGCCCAAAGCCTCGGACCCCTTGATGCTCATGACAACTTAAATCTCAGGCCCTCAGACCGGCCTCAAGGGGTCAGGCAGTGTGCAGACACCAGGCTCTGACAGCCCTGGCCACCACCAGTGTGGGGTTCAGCTTCCCAGAGAAAGAGAAGTTGTCTTTTTTTTTTTTAAGGTGTTATTTATTCATATGGGAGAGAGAGAGAGTGCACGGGGGACGGGGGCAGAGTGAGAAGCAGACCCCCTGCTGAGCAGGGAGCCCGATGCGGGACTAGATGCAGAACTCAATCCCAGAACCCTGGGATCATGACCTGAGCCAAAGGCAGATGCTTAACCCACTGAGCGAACCAGGCGCGCCAGAGATAAGTTGTCTTCACAGGCATTTGGTGTTATTTACTTGGGGCTCTGGCCCCCAACCTTGGTGCCCTGGGTGTCATCCCTCCCACCAAGCCCCCTTGGTCTAACTCAGCCAGGCAACTTCAGGGCAATTTCTCCAGCCTTCTAGAGCCTTCTATGGGTATTTATTAAAAGATCATTCACAAAAAATAATAAAGAAAGAAAGAATCATTCACAGCCTCCGTTTCCTTCCCCCCTCCCCCGTCCCGGAGACCCACAGGAGCAGGGAGTGAATGTGGGGGGGGGGAAGGGGGGCATGTCCTAGGTAGGGGGTCCTCCAGCGTGAAAGACACTGCTCTTGTGGCCCCAGCCCACCCCAAAGAAAGAGCTGTGAGCCCCCAACTGGCCAGTGGTACCAATGAGTGGAGCTGGCCCAGCCCAGGTGAGAAGGGTGTCCCTGGAGAGAATGGGCACCTCTGGGGGGCTGGGACAAGCTGGCCCCTCCTGGATACCCTCTGAGGAGGCCAGGTCCCCTTCAAACGCTGCTGCTGTCATGGAAGCTTGAGGCCATGATGACAGGTCTTAGGGGGGCTGGGACCCCCGCATGGGAAGGAGGTTTCCTGCTCAGGCCACTGAGGACTTCCTCCTGGGTGGGGACAATGCCGGGAAGGGGAAGGGATCTGCAGGCAAGCACAGCAGGAAGCTCAGGTTGCGGGGGCAGGGGGAGGTAGAGGGATGACCTCAGTCCCCACGGAGGTGGCTGGCTCCATGGGCTCAGTCTCCCAAGTACAAGACCAGATGTCCCAGATGCAGGAAGGACATGTGGTTCCGTCCCTGCTAGTGCTGGCCTTGGGCCCCTCTTTCCAGGCTCCTGCCCCCTCCCTCTTCTGCCATCCTCCCTCCCTCTGTCGCTCTGTTGCCCCTCCCCACCCTAGGTTCCAGCTTTTCCTTACCTCTGCCCAGAACCCTCTGGGTCTGATCCACCCACCTGCCCCCTTTCCTCTGGGCACCCATATCACCAGGTCCTCCATCTGTTCTCTTAGGGTTGTGTGTGTCTTTGAGCATGGAGGTCTGCCATCCACACGGGTAGAGCATTTGGAGCCTGGAATGAGCACCGAGGACGGGTGATGCATGCGGGAGGCAGAGCCCAGAGCGCTAGGTCCCGCCCTCCAAGGGGCCTTGGCTGGGAGGGAGGCAGGAAGCAGGGTCAGGGGCTGGGAAGAGGCCCATTCACCAGGCCCACTGCCCCCTGCCCGGGTTAAGAGCCCAGCTTCCCGAGAAAGGCCCACACCTCCGGCCTGGGGAGGGCCTCACCTAGGAGTCCCCCTTCCTGTGCCGCCCTTCCCGGCACAAGGCTACGGGGGGATGGGACCAAGGAAAACAGGGCTCCAAGTTCACACGTGTGGACCCTTGCCTCACCAAGGCCTCAGTTTCCCCCCTCTGCTCCCAGTCCCTCCTCTGGCGCCTCAGTTTCTGCCTCTGGCAATTAAGACATGAAGGAGACCCAGGCACAGAGCTAGTGCGGTTTCACACTTCACTGCCCGGCTGCCCCTCCTTCTATTCCCAAGCCAGGGAAAGTGAGGCGCCAGCCACACCCTGAGGTCACCCTGAAGCAACCCAGGACCCCTCCATTCTTTTCTTCCAGCATGCATGCTGTGCATGGGGCTCGGGGTCATGGGGTGGCAGGGCACAACAGACAAGGTCTACCTCCAGTAAATGGGAAATGAGGTTTTAGCTACATGACTTCATTAAGGGCTACAAGGAAAATGCAGTGGGAGAAAGTGAAATTGAGGTGCGGAGGAGTGAAGCCGGTTGGCAAAGACTCTGAGGAGGCAACATTTGGGCAGAGACCGGACAGGGTGAGTGAGTGCACAGCCATGCCGAGGCCCTGGGGCTTCCCGATCCTGCAAGGCTCCTCTCCTTTATGCCACAGGCAGCCTTGGGTGGTCAGCATGCTCAGAAAGGTGTTCCTAAAACCACTCTGGGTGCTGGGTGGTACATGGCCATGAAGGACAGAGAAATGAGGCCAGGCTGAGGGGCAAGGAGAAAAAGGTGGATGGATTTCTCAGGACTCACTGATGACGGCTGTGAGTGGGCAGCCTGGCCAGAGTCCCTTCCTGGGCTTCCCCTGTAGACCTCCATCCCTGTGTGGAACAGGGCAGGGAGGCAGCCCCTACCCCGAGTTCCCAGGGTCCCAAGAGCCCTAGCGGTTTTACTGAGGAGAGACAAGCTCAGAGGTAGGTGGTGAAGTGTCTCAGCTCCATCAGTCCCAGGAGACCCTCACATCGAAGAGAATGTGACCCCTAGAAGACCCCCATCACCCCCACAAGATCCTCACCCGAGAAGGACTCCTCTTCCAGGAGGTTCCACTCCCAGGAGCCCCACCACCCCCGGGGCACTCCCACCCCAGAGACCCTCACCCGCAGGAGGCCCCACCCCCAGAGCAC